AACATTAAATCGACCTTCGAAATTTATTTGGAACGACGTAAACACAAATCAAATATGCAAATCAACTAAACTCAACGTTATAGACTCAATGGAATCTTCACTAATCTGAGGACTTCTCAAGCCGACATTCATGGAAGTCTCAAGAAACTAGCTCAGCGCCTAAAAAGGCGATAAGAAGCTCATGACTTCTCAAAAATCAACCAAGACAACTCCTAGACCTAAAATCATCCCCCATAATCAACGGAATTCTCAAAATTCTCATCCAAACATTAGAACCCCGAATGTCGACCAAAGTCAATCCAAAGGCTATATTTCCTCAATTTCACAACTTAGGACCTCAAATCCTAAAAAAAAACTCATAATCAGAAATAATCAAATCTCACAAATCGAATTCTTCATTCCACGACTAATGAAATTAATGAGATCGTGATACTCAAAACTCCAAAAGACTTGAAAACTACTTTTAAGTAACTTAAGCCTTTTAAACTCAAAATTAACAAAATTCTCAAATTTTTACTCAAATTTTGGGACCAACTTCAAAAACTCAATCAAGAAACAACTTGGAGTCAAAATCGAAAGGGGTAAACCATATTTTTACGAAAACACCAGAAATGACCAACTAGATCAGTACAAGTTCATTGCATCAACTAATTATTTTTTTATCTTTTTATTGTTATCTATCTAATTATTTTTTAAAATAAAATTGTATATCCACATGAATCAAGAATTAAAATTATCTTGAAGTACAGTTGATTTATATCTTTGTTTATTCAATTATTAAAAATAATGAGGAAGTATGAGTAATTTAAACGGCCACTCAGATAAGATTTTCACTCACAATATATTGGAATTATGTTTATTAATCAAATATTACTGCTTTAATAATATATCATCTAGTCAATTCTGGAGTTCTACATTAAATATTATCGAATAATATTTATACTTTTAAGGATTTGATGGTGAATTGTGGTGAATTATGACTTATTGCATCACTAATTAAGGGTAAAATACTGGATTCAAGTCTCATCATACTAAGAGGGTAAAATATTGGGTTCAAGTTTCGATGCCCCATAATGATATTCGAGTCCCATTAAATTATGGCCTAAAATGTCTTATTATAGTAAGACATTGAGTTCAAATCTTAAACGCACTATAGTGATGATATGATAACTAATAAAAAGTAGTATACTTTTGACTAAAAGTCATGATATTCACTCGATTAATTTGCTCCATTTTCTTATTGTTAAAATGGTAGGAGTACATAATATTTCTGAAAAATGACAAGTGCTTGAATGGAAGAACATGAGTATGGTCAAATGTAAATCCCCCATCAAAATAAAGACACATAAAAGTGGTAGTACATTTAGTATATTTGACCTTTTAAAGTGAAGTTGAGGTGAGTCATATAAATTTGATAATGCCAAGGTATGACAATGAGTTTATGACAATACTCATGGAGCATGTAGAAATGGTTATGATCAATTTCTTCAAGAAAATGTAACTTGTGTCCGTATGGATAAGGACATATTTCATGTATGGTTGGATAAATGTCACATCTCATCTCTACAGGAGGTTTGAGAGATTAATTTTTATTTTTTGAAATAAATGATCATTTGGTCATATACTTTGAATAGTACACAAATATTGTGTTATGTTTTGTTAAGAACTATTGAAGCACAAAAGAAAGAAATAATTTTTTCCAATAAAAATTGTGACCATGATTAAGATATACATGATTGTATGACAACACAAATTTGTCATTAATTGTCAAGAAATAAGTCTTGCATGTAATAATTTTAACCATGACAGTAATAATAATTTTCTTCTTGAAGGAGATGGTCACCATCAAAATGGTGTTGTAAAATTTTTGGTAGTACATAAAATTAATTGAAAGTTTCGAAAAGACTAATTTATTACTATCTAGAGGTATGACTTGTTCATAATATTGAAGTTGTAGTAAGTCTCAAAAGAATTTTTTTAAGTTCCGAAGAAATGAAAAGGAAAAATTATTATATTGAAACTATAAATTATGGGAAGATTTAATATCTTCAAATTACTACAATTGAAGCGGGTTATAAATATTTAAGTAAAAGATTATCCATTTTTCTTCTTGTTTGTTGTATACAAATATGGGCATGATGACGGAATTACATGGAAAATTGAACTACAACTTAACTAGAATAAATATTAGTTAGTATAACATATAGACCATTTCGGTTCAATTATGATGCAAAAGAAATTAAGAAGTCACATGGTTATATGTTGTAGAAATAAAAAGTTTTTCAAGAATTATCATTTGTTGCTTGTTGTCATGATAAAATGATCACTGTACCAGCTATATTTGAAATTGTATTCTCTAAAATTATTTGGAACATATAAAAAGATGATTATGAGTTCTTTCACCTGTCATGTGGACCGCTTACTATTATGATTTGTTATATGCATCTATGGTATGGCCACACGTGTGTTTGTAATCAACTTACAAATTAATTTTTGTAAGGTTGTTTACTCAAAATGTTAATTTAGAGCACAGTTCCAAACTATAAATGTAGCACCTCGAAAATTGAAACATAAAATAGAAAAGAGAAAAGGCTCCAGTTGAGTACAAGTGCTTGTGTACGGAAGGTTGTATGGTCCATACATGGTGTCTCATGCCGTAAAATCAACCGTGGTGAAAGTTAAACTTGAAGGTCTTGTTGCAAAGTGTTTCACGGACCTTTAAGAGTTGTACAAGTTGTGGAACAAATCGTGAAGCTTTGTACAGACAGTGAAGTTTTCTATGAAAGGAACCTATCAACTTTAAAGTTTTGTGTCAGCTTCAAACAATCATATCTTCAGAACATAATGAATTATGTGACCCATGACATATCAAATTTAAGATCTTTGAGTCCTCTTTTCAATACCACCAAGTTTGCCTAATTTTGAGTTCGGAGTAAAAAGGTATGCCCATTTTAGTGAAGCCCACCGGACAGGTGAAGTTTCACGATAGGCTATAAGGCCCGTGAAGCCTTAAACAGTCTGTGAAACCTCCTCTTTAAGGTACCTTGACAGTTTTTAAAGTTGGATCGTTTTAGTCTCCTCCTATGTGTTTTGTACTTAAACCACGTCGTTTTAATCCATATTCTAAGCCTAAGCCATGACGTTTTACACCTAAATAAGAGCTTAGAAAGTATTAATTAGTCCTTTTAAGTTCATTAACACTTCAAGTCACTAGAGCAAGGTTCCAAGAGAAGAAAAGCTAGGGTTCAAGCATTCTTTAAGTTTGACCGATTTAGCTAAAAAACTTTGTTCTTCCAAGTATGTAAGTCTATTATAGTGTTGGACTAGTTTGTCAACATGATCTACTTCTACTTTCAAATAAGTAAAAGAGTAATATACAGTTTTATCTTTAGATTTCAGTAATTTTTAGATGAGTTGATGTTGAATTCTTGAGTTCCCGAATATTTAACTTCTATTCCTAATTATTGAATTGTTGTACATTATGCACTGAAATTTATTAAGTTCATGCCTATTCTTCTGCATGAAACCTATCTCTGAATATTTCATTAAGATCTTATTAAGAATTTTTTAAACACACATGATTGTATTAAATTGAGTTTTTTAAAAAGTAAAGAGGAGCTTTAGAAAGAGTTCTAATCGAGGTTTAAGCAAGAGTATAAGAGAACTATGCACTCCCAATTATATCACTTTGTACATTAAGCAAAAACAAACCTTATTTTCTAAATGAGCAATGAGTTTCAGATAATTTGAGCAATTATCTCAAACTAGAGAAATAGTATGTTTTATACATTTGGGCATGAGTAATATATTAATGGAAATAATATTGAGCACCTATATGAGGATTATTTTAGACAACTCAAAATCCTCATAAATCATGTATGCCAACATGAGTAAATGATGTACTGTGAACTCATAGCACATTTGACACTCGAAACTAATACTTAGTGCGACAAATCGAGCTTTTTCACGTGGATATGATATTCTTTGATGTTGAAAAGGTAAAACACTTTGGAGCTAAAGATAGAAAAAAAAAGGAAAGAAAATAAAGTTGAAGCCAACACCACGAGCCCAGATCGACTGTGGTCCAGTTGACGAGCCGTGTGAGGGCTCATGGAAGGGAGGCAATGAAGACCTTTAGATGACCACGTAAAGAACGAAGACATGGACCCCCAGAAAAATTACGCTGATAAATAAACATGTACTACTTAATTAGCTAACATATCCATAGTTTAAATTATCTACCACCCACAACCACCTTTTAGCTATAATTATGAGCGCCTATCTCATGTCTCCCTCTCTATCACCTCTCTCCTCTCTTCTGCATATACATACACAATGAAAATGACACACATAGAAATACAATTTATCTCTCTCCATTCTCTATCCTCTCTCGCTCACCCCTCATTCTTCTCTCAATCTCGCTCACCAAATATACAAATACATACGTATACCAATTACGTATGCACAATTACCTGACATATATACAAACAAAATTCACTTCTCTCCACCCTCAGCCCTCTTGCTTGCTTCTCTACTCTCTTCCAATCTCGCTCATCTCTCTCCTCCCTCTAACATGTAGTTATAAATTGTAATTAGCAAACTATAAATATGGAGCATAAGTTATTTAATGGCTATTTGTAAAATTTCCTCATGAACCAATAGCAAAAAACCAATATCATCTTTTCTAATTGCAATTTATCGATCGTTTCGATTTCTACACCCCCCACCCCCACCCTAATTCTTATAATTTATTTAGAGAACACTACCTTAGCCTAAAAATAAACTGTCTGAAGACGACTACCTTTAAAACGAACTGTCTGGAGACGACGACTACCTTTTAACCCATTTAACTCTATTTTTATTGGTCTTTTTGAGCTCAACTCTTAGGGTCAACTCAACAAACAGGCCACAACCCATCCTGTAATAATATCAAATAAGTAGGGTTGATTTTCCCACCCCTACATCAAACCAATTGTCGTATGACAAAAAATAATTGTAACTTAACTAACACGGCCTTTATATGAAAAATTTGTTCGATGAAATAAGTTTTAGAGAACAGCTCAATAATGTATAATATAAATCCTAGATATTGGTGGGTATTGGATGATACACAGTTGGAATAACTTCAACTACACCAACAACAATGCATTAAAGCAAAACTTAAACATAACAAAAGATTAGAAACAGTAAAAAAAAACTGATGCCATTCAAAAGTCCATCAGTCAAAGGGGAAAATGGCAGTTCAGGCACGAACGAGCGTTCACTTGCAATCAATTATATTACTCTCATACCCGCCATATTTTATCTCAAGGAAATGCTTGGATTTGGCTGTGGTACGTCAACTGATCTCCAGAATGATTTCTTGCTTGTTCCAGTTTTCACTTATCACTCCAAACAATCAAAGGAACTATGTAATTGAAATAGGACTGGAAACCAAATATTTTAAGAGTCTTGAATAGTATAAAATAGGTTTCGCGAGTTGCACCAGCCAATACCAAGGTACTCTTGAAAATAAATGGGGGTCATTCCTCACAAATCAATAATTAGTTGATCGAATTCCTCTTGGATTCTCACCTCCATGTTCTCACTTCCAGCGAATCAAGTCCTTGGAGGATGACAAAGTACTGTAGGATCTGATGGTCCTCCAAAACAGTATATGGAATAATCAGCAACTACGAAATATCAAATACGGTACTTTGGGATATCAAGCTTCCAGAAATCATGTTGTGAGCCAGCCACAGGGAAGTTGTGACATCTCATCCATATTGTAAAGCAGAGGATAAATTGGTATGAACATGAAAACCTACATGGTATAATTTGTTTGAAAAGTGAGTACATCCAATGAACAAGATTACTAAATTAGCTAAAATATTGATAGGACCATTAGGATGAAAGAAATATATACTAGCACTTGCTTAATCCTTAAGCACTGTTTCAACCAAAACTAACAGTTTCAAAAGAAAACTTCAAGACAGATGCTATCAGTTTCAATCGGCACCTGTGATGGTAACATTTATTTCATCTACCTGGTTCACAAATAAAACCATTGAGCGTAGCTTAGGTAAAAGAGTAAACATGAAAAGAACCGCTTGATTACAGTATAAGAGTCCATTTTATTCATGTATAAAAAGTTGTATTAGTGTTATTATGTTCGGTAGAAGCTTTATATTAGGTAGAAAAGTCAACAAAACTTATATCATGTTTGGCTGGTATGATCCAAAAAGTTGTATAAAAGTTATCCATGTATTAATTTTATACGGTGTTTGATTACGTTCTTTGTAGTCCTACATAATTATATAATACCATCATTAACTAATACCTACATAACTAATACCCGCATAACTAAATCCAACATAACTAAACCCTGCATAACCACATAACTAATACTTTCATAACTAATACCTGGATAACTAAACCCTGCATAACTAATACCTGCATAACTCTAACCAGTAAGCAAACGGTCCTAAGGGGTTTGTACCATGTTTGGTGGCATTCCTTTGCTATATATAAACTTCAACACATCAAAATACGGTGTTTGATTATCAATTTAGAATCCCGCATAACTAATATTCCCTCCGTTTCAATTTGTTTGACTTGTTTTGACTTGAACCAGAGTTAAAGAAAGTAAAGAGAACTTCTGAATTTTGTGGTCTTGAATTAAAGATGTATACATACCTTAAACATTTCATCTGAAAAGTTGGAACTAAAAAGATGTCAAAAAAGGAAAGAGACATTCTTTTTGAAACACTCATAAGGAAAGTAGGACAACCAAAGAGAGTATTATATAAGTTATGAGTGAATCTACGTATTGTTTTATGCAGGATGGAAAATGGAATAACAAAACCTTGCAAACCCTATATAACTAATTGTTGTATTACTATTACCTGCATAACGCTAATTAGCAATCAAACCATCCCTAAGAACTGATGACTGCATTCACAACTTTTTTTTTTGAAACTGGTAACTTGACTGCATTGACAACCTTGACAACCCTAGTATGTAAATCGACCCATTTTTTACTTTTTGACCTGAAATACACTGACATTGCCTCTTTAGTAAACTTTTTTCTAATACAACGGCTGCTTAGGTACCAAGATGAAACGGAAGAAATGTTTCCGCATTTTTTTTCTATTGATAACACTGAAATCCCCGAGAAATGTTCCCATTGTTTATTCATACCAAGATTATAGCCTCATCCTATTTCAAATATTAAACTCAAAAGGTACATAAACTTACTTTATAACAAAGAGGTTCAGTGTTTGATTAATAGATAAAGAGTGTCACAAAGGCTTAAAAGTAAGTTCTACATAGTGGTGTTTAGACCTACTTTGTTGTGTGGCAGTGTTGGCCAATAAAGAATACACATGTTCAGAAGAAGAAGGTTAGTCGAGATGAGGATGAGGATGCCTAGATGAATGTGTGGGTATACTAGGAGAGATAAAATTAGGAACGACATTATACAACAAGGTTGGAGTGGCCTCCTGGGGGATAAGATGAGAGAAGTCAAACTGAGATGGTTCGAACACGTGAATGGGAGCATACATGCACCAGTGAGGAGGTGTGAGAGGTTGGCTATAGTAAGATTGACGAGAGGAAGAGGTAGACCGAAGAAGAACAAGAGGGAGATCATTAGACATGACATGACACATCACATCTTCTAATGAAGACATGATACTAGATAGGAAGATTTGGAGGTCGAGGATAAGGGTTGAAGGGTAATAGGTAGCTGACCAATATAAGTATTAGTTAGTATATGCGTAGTATTCTCCAAATTTTCACTATTACCTGATGTTTCATTTGTTCTGTTTATCTTGCTACTTTGCTGCCTGCTTTTTATCTTCCTATTGTGTTTTGATAACATTTGTTTTTAGCACCCCCACAAAGGTAGGGGTAAGGTATGCATATATCCTACCCTCCTAAAACCCTACTTGAAGGATTACAATAGATTTGTTGTTGTTGGACATATAGGAAGTACAAAGGAAATATAAACAATGGATCCTCTTTAGTCCCTATGACACCGTAAGTGTATAAAGACGGATATCATGGAATTTATGAAATCCGGAGAGAGAACGTTGAGACGACATTAGAATGGAGCACGAGGCTAGCAGAGCTTGCTGCAGTGCCAGCTTGATTGCTTGTCTTATTTACCATTTTCTTAGCGGGTGTCCAAGCCCGTAGTCACAATGCCTCCTTCGCAGAAGCCATCACTGAGCTGACCAATATGATTGATAGTTTTAAGTTTACTATTTGCAGTTCTCCAAAGACACAAACTTGGGGCTGGAGCAAAGAGCCACAAAGGAACCTGTCAGGAACGGTATACAAAGGACAGACTGAATTATAAGTGCTGGCTTTTCTGCAGTTTCAGGCCCAATCCTTGGGACATGAATGCACAAATTTCTTAAATGGAAAGGGTTTTCCTGGGCAAGAAACCAACCAACTTAACTTACAGTTTTCAAAGCTCAGGACTACAGCAACTTGCAACTTCACAATTTATGACTTCACCCCAGAAGCTGCGGGAAAGATGTTCCTAAAATATTCAGGAAAGGTGCAAACAATGACACTGATGTTAGAAATGCATTGCCTTTATGCCACTGTTAACTACTCATTAGTCATAAGCCATATCCAATTGGACAAATTCATAATATCGATCATCTGCCTCAAACTAGGCCACTGTTGCAACATCTCGATTGTACAAGGCTACAAGACAAAGCGTACCAATTAATACTACTGATCAATCAGAATCACTAAACTTAAGGCATCTATTCAAATAAAAGCCTTCTCTTCCCCTGTCAACCCCACTCTTTTACCATCTCAAACTGTTCCATCACATTTTAAGAACTTCCCGATTCCTCACTCTCCTTCTCTCATGAGATAAGATACAAATATATTGAAAAAGGAGGGATTCTATCCTTACAAGGACATGAAAAGACAGTCCCTTACATATAACAGGATTAGCAAACATTTCCCATTTCTATTCTCTGCTTTTCTTGTTCCTTCAATCTGTCTATGTACACTCGAGCCCTCTCACCCAACTAGCAGTCATCAATATCTTCTTATTATCTCTTTATCTCACTTCCCATTCAACCAGAAATTATCACCTCCTCCACCATATCTGTTCGCTTCCCTTGTCATGCCCCTGCCTCTTCAACAAACCTTACCCCTCCCCCTATTTAGTCTAGCGCCCTCGCTTTCCTTTTTTCTCGAACTTACTTTCATTGCAGAAATATCCTTCCCAATTCTTTATCAGGTTTTCCTCTCCCCTCTCCTCCCTCCCCTTCGATATAGAGAAGCTCCCAATAACCATAGGTTAACACCAGGATTGACTTTGAGTCCTCAGTTTGCCCATAGTTGGGCATTAATTAACCAACAGTATACAAGACGAGGTTTCATGATCCATGATATTTGCAAATAATGTGCTAATTGACAAAACCAGCTAGGGTATCAACCAAAAATTTGAACTATTAGGATAACCAGTGTTGCCTCAAATTTGAAGCTATATGCCGCAAAAACCAAAATCCTGATCAGTGGCCGTAAATATAAAAAGAATGAAAAGAGAAACGACAGAACAAACTATAGCCAGAAAGTACCTAAAAAATACTGACTATATACAAAGAGCGCCCATGTCTGGTGGCCTTGCATCAGATTGTTTTGAAGTCGTAACATTGACAGGGGGAACTTTCTTTCCTTGCTTTTTATCTCTCCGACCCTTTCCATAATCAATTGTATGGTTGCTGTAAATACACCATTGCATGAGAAAATGAAGAGAATCAAAAATCCAAGTGGCCAGAGCATTAAGCTAGTTAGGAAACAGAACATGCTGCAATTGATTATTTTGACTTCAAACCCAACATTATATAGATGATTTTTTAATTTAATCCAAAAGAAAACAGTTGGAAAGATAGATACATGTCCCTAAGCTTTATAGCTATATAGTCATAATTGTGCTGTCAAACTTTATAATTGGAGAGCCCACAAATCCGCTAATATATATTTAGCACAGAGGAGCAGAGTTTCCAAAATTTTCATATTGAAAGCTCTCCAATATATCCTTGTACACTACTGCAAATACATTCTAGTGCAAATATATGCATAATAGAAGAAGAAAAACACATGCATGGAACAAGCAGAAAGCATCCCACAAGTTACAACAAGCTAACGGCATTAGCTGTAGAAAAAAATTTGCTGCAAAAAAGAATTAACAAAAGAAACCTCAACAACATTTAGGAATAAACAAAAACACAGGTGATTATTGACAACCATACTCTGTAAAGCTAGTAGGATGCTTTCCAGCAACTGATCCACAGCAAGACTTGTATTTCTTCTTTGAACCACAGGGACAGGCCTTATTTCTTGGAATTTTCTACAGCATCAAACGATGATGAAGCTTTGATTATTTAAGTAACAAAATCCAAGTCAAGTTTCCAATTAGATACGTACTAAAGAAAAAAAAAGTACATTTAAAAGATACAAAAGGATTCAGGTTGTTTTACCTTTTCATCTTCCAGGGAGGTGTGTTCATCAGAAGCTCCTTTTACACTACAGTCAGAGGAACCTCTTTTACAAGGTGAGTCTCCAGATTTGATAGCATGCTCTCCTAAAGACCCTAAAAAGAACGAAAAGTATAAGAAGATAGTGCTGGTACCAACACTGAATGCACTGAAAGCATAGTTGAACCAGTTCTCCCCATCCATGATAGACGCACGCAATAGAAAAGTACTTTTAAAGTGTTTTTCTATCGGGATGTATCCTGCCTGTCAATTAATGGGCACAACGAAAAAATTATCACCTTTTTCTCTGGCTCTGTGACAAGATTCTGATAGCATTAAGTGGGTTTCATAACATTAAAGATGTTTCTTCCCAACTTAGCAAGCTCTATAATATTACTGGAGTAATAGGTGCATGGTAAGAGGTCAACTTCACAGAGCCGAGCTAAGACACATTCAAGCTCACTGAACACCAAAGCAGGAAGGATGGGTTTCCCAGAGTGAGAACAATTGTCAAAGAGAACTTAGAAAAGAGTATCCACCTACTACAAAAGTTACGATAATAATGACAAGTAGACGAAAAAGAATACTTCACCTTCATATCTAGCACCCAAGGTATTAAAATATATACTGTCTCCTTCTACTATGCATTCAGGCAGCCCCAAAAAAGGGGCTACTGTGCAGATGATTGCACGTTGAACATTACCGAGTGATGAGTGTATAGGAGAAAAAGCTATCTACCTATGTCCCACAGCCCTCACTATCTAAGATGACACAGTCGCTTCCCTCTCATGTAGACAGATTTATCATAGCAGTTGGAAGATGTGGAAACAACTATAAAAAACTTGATTTGGCTTTTTCGATTAGGTCAAGAAAGTCAACTAGCAAAGCATAACATAAAATGAATGGTTCTCTAGCTCCTATTAAGGTAAAATTTTGACTACATGTTACATAGCTAAATTGCTCGGACTCTTCACTTCTAGTGCCACACCCGCGTCGACACGATGTGGGTGTGGGATCCGTACCCGATTTGGTCAACCGATCCTGGGTATTTTGACCAAAATCGACAGATATTCAGGACAGATACCTATGATTTCCGTAATCAAAACAAAAGCTAAGGTGAATTAAAAAAAATGCAATACCTTGTATTGAGAAATTTCTATGCAAGTCCTTAACCTTTTGTCTCCTTCTGGTTTTCTTCTCTCTATCAATATTTTCTCCTCGGAATAGTTTATAAGTTCTCCACATAATGTCTCATAATTTGCCATATAACTCTATTTTTAGCAGAATTCCCGCACCCATATCGTTACTGGATCCATACTTCCAAATATTAAAATTCAGATTATGTTGCATCTGACCTCTATATCCACACTTGTATAGGACACCTGCAGCCGAGTCTGAGCAACCTAGTCACATAACACTGAAATCTGTCCATTTGTTTGAACTAGTTACATCTAAAGAGCCAAACAAGTTCCTCTCTTGACCACAACTTTTAAATTTCCTTCTATTATTTCTAATCCTAAAGTTTAGTCCCGAGTATTACTCGCATAGCTACAAATTCTATAAATTTAAACTAGGTTAGTCAATTTGGATAAGATGACCAGGCATCAAAACTCAAAACCAATAAAAGTAGAAAAAAAGGGAAAAGGAAGAATGTGTCACCAAAGAAATTTCACTGTCAATCCTGATTCCTGGGCAAGCCACTACCATACGGACAGAAGTCTGTATTTTTCCAATAAAATTCATTAAAATTTGAATATCTATCAGGTTGACACGAGTATGTCAGTCATGTTGAATAACAATCTTCCTGTTTCTATTTTTCATGTGCTTGGGACACCCTGATGATTATGAAAACCAGACTTTACATTGACTGCAATCTCAGCAAGACGCAATATGCATAATTATTTTAAAAGCAAGTGGAAAAGAACTGACTGGCCATTACCTTGTGAAGTGCTTGCCAAAGAAGAAATGTTATCATTTGCATCTAACTGGTCCTCGGATCCTTGTTCTGCGATCAGAAATTCTATTGCAGCATCAACATCACCACCAACTTGTCGTAATACCTAGAGAAGAACAGATATATAAGAAAAAGAAATCAAATACAGAGATATGTAGGTTTCTTTTAACGCTCAACAGGTTCGACATCATCGACTAAGGAGAGAGCAATCAGCAAATAACCTGCTCCACTTTTTGTTTGTTATCACACCCACTTCCAGCCATAACCATTTTGACTGATCCTTCTTGAACCATATTTCGACTAGTGTCTCCCTTAGACTTGGCAGCAGCTATAACTTCACGAGATTTTGCTGAAAGATCAGCATCAGCCTTTAAATAACTGAAGGTCATTAGAATTCTTGCATGAAATCCTAACTCATTGTTATAATATTGCTATATCTAACACAAAAAAATAAGAAATTGAAATGCTGTAAACCTTGATAATAATCGGGATAGCTGGTCCAGTGCAAGAATCTTCCCTTAGCCGAATGCTATTGTAATGCTCTCCGTCGTGATAAGAACTGACAGTAAATAAGTCAGTCAGGCAGCATATGTGTACAAAATATACAAAGGGCCTAACAAGTAATGGATGAAGGGGAAAAGAAGCACAAAAGAAATGCCAAAAGATGCTCCTTTTCAAGCCAAATAAGTGGCTCTTGCTTCAGTAGGCAACCAATTATCTCGGAGGGTTATAGAGGACACCACTATAGTCATTAGCTGCGGCTAATCAATAATTTATTAACAAATCAGAAGTGGAGGTTAACCTCCACATGATCTGAACGAACTTTGTTATTTAATGAAGATATACAAAACAGTCAGACAATCACCTTACAGTAAAAAAGCTAGAGAAGGAGGACTCCCCATAATGGAGAAAGAAAGAGACATTATTGGACAAAAAAAAAGAGAGAGACATTAATGTTGAGGAAAGAAAAAGGAGGGAGCCAAGCTTCTTATAAAACTTGAACTGTCTGCTATTTCACAAGACCATGTCTATTCATATAGGATTTAACTTTTGCCATGGAACAAGAGAAAAGAAGGTGTATACTGAATATAACCTTAAGTCTCTCAAAGAACCAACGAGATAGAATGCTCTTAACTTCACAACTACTTGAAAAGCAAAGCAAAATAATGCAGATTAAGAAAAAGTAATTAAAAAAAGTATTTAAAATGAGTTTCTTGTGTTTTAACTGATCCCCTTTCTGTAAGCAACATCTGTGTGCATGCACAATAAAAGAGGGGGAGAGACCGAGATGTATATACAGCAGGATCAAGTACTTAGAAAAATTACATCACGTTTCATGAACTTTTTCAGAATGCTTGTATGTAACAGCAAAAGAGAATGATCTACATATACCTGTTTTTACTAGCGAAACATCTATTCTGCCTACTACCCCTACCGCCACCCCCACTTCCACTCCCAGACAAACGAAGACTCTGAAGTGAAGAAATAAACAGCAAGTGTGACAACAACTAGGAGAGTGTTCATGGAGGAATAAGGTTGCAACACTCAACTGGGTCTTTGACAGAAAAGAAGCTTCAAAAAGAGGAGATAGAACTAGATATCAAGCACTGGGGCGTATCGTGCATTAGCACTACAGAAAACTTGCTCATCCACCTTCATGAAATCCTCTTTTCACGATAGATGGATGTAGTTAAAAATACAAAATTAGACTGGCCACAAGAGAAAATAAACCAAGAGGAAAATTAAAACGACTTTTCTCATCCACCTTCATGAGATCCTCTTTTTACTCTAGATGGACGTAGTTAAAAATACAAAATTAGACTGACCACAAGAGAAAGTAAACCAAGAGGAAAATTAAAATGACTTTTCTCATCCACCTTCATGAGATCCTCTTTTTACTCTAGATGGATGTAGTTAAAAATACAAAATTAGACTGGCCACAAGAGAAAGTAAACCAAGAGGAAAATTAAAACGACCTTTTAAGGTCAATAAAGTACCAGATTGTCTATTCCAATTTCCGCATAGATGTCTTTTCTTCACCAACAGCTAATATACTAAAATTCATCTACCATAAATGCCAATTTTAAATGATCTAAGTGTATTAATGAAAATGAGTTGTATCAGTCCTCCAACAATTTTATCCCAGCTATGAAACATTCATGATATACAAACCAAAGAAATTCATACAGTGGACTGGAGGGGCTCTAGATCATCCAAAAGCATAAGCAAGTGAAATCTCATATTCTTTCCAACACTTACAGATGAAGCATCCGAGATTCACGGTTGTCAAAATTCTGTATGTACCAGCGAGGTGACATATGCTGTCCACATTGGATTTAAATAATCAGTCAATCAAAAATCCCTTGGACATCAGGTCAGTGCACTACGAAGTGAGCAACTTTGATGATTAAAAAACTAGTTGTTCTATATTGTGAAGACCCGCTTACGGCTTATCAGAGGGATAAAGTAGGGGGAGAAAACGTACTCGGTGGATGCATATATTGGTATGAGTAACAAGAGAAGCTGCTTGTAATTCCATATGTCCAGCCCAAGTGCCATCCTTCTCCATGGACTCACAATATTCATCAAATGGTACATCATCTTCAATAAAAGGCTCAAACATATCACGGTTATTCTGTTAAATATAGATCCACTATTAGTTTACCTTAAAAAAATTGTTTTGGTGTTCTAAGTACTAGAGTACATGACATACAACAGATAAAAAAGGCAGCCGGTGCACAAAGATTCCCAGGTTATCAGGGTCCACGGAAGGGACACAATCCAAGGGGTGTGATGTAGACAGACTACCCTAATGCAAGCATTAGTGACTGCTTCCACGGCTCAAACCCATGACCTATAGGTCATACGGAGACAACTTCACGTTGCTCCAAGGTTCCTCTTCCTGACGCGTAACAGCAGATGTAGGAATCAAAAACAAAGACAAAAGTTCATAATGTGACATCGGAAATCATATTTTGAAACTTCACCCACTCAAAATCGCATCAATAACAAACAACAACAACATACCCAGCATAGTCCCACAAGTATGATCTGATGAGGGTAGAGTGCATGAAGACTTTACCTCTACCTTGCCAGGTAGAGACGTTATTTCCATAAGACCCTTGGCTCAAAGAGAAATCACATCTATAACATCACAAAATACAGGATATTCTTAAAGAAAGCATGTGTTTCCTCGATCATCTCAAAAAATCTATGTTATTTTCAATCTATTCCGGCTTTGCTATTAGTAAGCATTGTGGAAAATATTCATACCTAAAACAGGTTGCAATAAAGTTTATTAGCAACTATTACTACACATTTCTAAATCAAAAAAGCCAGCTGAAAACAAGTAACGTAGATACCAAATATGTAATAACAACAACACGGTATAGTCCCAAGAAGGGTATGGGAGGTAGAGTGTACACAGACCTGATACCACCCTTCTAAACGATAATAAAATTAATAATAATTTTTCAATAGAAGTTGAAACAGAAGAAATGGCTCCAAAACACCGTCACCAGAGATTCTACTACCCTTCTCAACCCACCCTGCACATTAGTCACAGGATAGATCTACTGTAAATATCAAACTATAAAAATAATGCCACAAGGATGGCTCAGTTCTTCCTGGACAGACTGGGATATCTATCAGAGTACAATATAGATAAGACTGGCGATTTTGGCGACTTTGGTGACAAATAATGGGATATAATCTCAAATAAGAGAACAAAGTAGCCCCTTGAGACAGAAAAAAGAAAAGGGAGTAAAAGTCAATAGCTGCGGATGCTACATATTGCCTTGTCAAAATGGAAGTACGCCTCAATAGAATCGCAATTGATCCCATCCAAGTTAGACTATCAACACAATTAAATATCATGACCTTGCATAACGTTTACACAAAATCATCTATCATATCAATAGAAATAAGTACTTATAAGTATTTCCTACTTGAACAGGAATAGGAATAAGAATAGAAATAGGAATACGAGTCCTAGTCGGAAAAGGGTTCCAATGTAGTGTCTATAAACACGGTCTCAATGTAACAATTAAGATACACAATTCAATAATATTTCTTCCAATATATTTCTCACATGGTATCAGAGTATTGGTGAGAATTTCAAGTCACCAGTGTCAAATTTCGGTGAAGACGGTGGGATTGATTTATGTCATCTTTCATTCTAAAGATGTTGTGAAAAGACAACACCGTCACGAGGCTCGGGAAGCTCAGGCGACCAAACCCCATCCAGACCCACTAGAAAGTACCCTCCCACGCACCCACGCGCTGATCGGAGGTGGCAATTTTTCGGCGAGATCTGCTCATGTGCCGGCGCGTGAGTGCTGCTCCGACCCTTTTTTTTGAGCTATTTTTTTCCAGTTGGGTCACCCAGTATTTTCGACCAGAACCTGGGCAGTTTTCTCCAGATCCGATCACCGGAGTTAGGGTTCCGGTGATTTTCAGGCAATTTCCGGCAAGTTTCGGGCGAAATCAAAACTTTTAGGCTACTTTAGGTAGATTCCGATAGTTTCCAGCAAATTTCTTACTATTTTCAAAAAGAATAGTCTTTCTGGTGTGATGTTTTTGGCTCCAAAAACAGGGATTGAAAGTTCAAGCCTTACAATCACTTCAGGACCATTAATGGGAAGTTCAAACTATTTAGCTTGGGCTTCTTCAGTTGAGTAGTGGTGCAAGGGTCAAGGTGTTCAAGATCACTTAACAAACAATGCTTGTGTCGTAGATGAAAAGACAGTCTAATGACGATGGTGCAAAAGCCAAAGCACAATAGGAGAAAGTGGATGCCCAATTATGTAGTCTCCTTTGGCGCTCTATTGATTTTAAGTTGATGCCCTTGTTTCGCCCATTCCAGACATGTTATTTAGTTTGGAAAAAGGCACGTGCTTTATACACTAATGACATATCTCGATTCTATGGTGTGATATCTCGAATGACCAACTTAAAGAAACAAGAATCTGATATGTCTACTTACTTGGGACAAGTACAGGCAGTCATTAAGGAATTTGAAACATTAATGCCTATCACTACAAACGTGGATTAGCGACAAGAGCATAGACAGACTATTGTCTCTAGTTCTTACACTTGCTGGACATCCTACTGACCATAACTCTGTACGTGACCAGATTCTAGCCAGTCCCACAGTTCCCTCAATTGATGAATTATTCTCTCGTCTGCTTCGTCTTGCTGCACCTCCCAGTCACAAAAAAATTCCATCACCCATTTTTGACTCCTCTATTCTCGCATCTCAAACCACAGAAAAGCGTACATACCAATCTATGGAGAATCGTCGAGGGGGAGGACGTTTTGGGAAACCTAGTGTAGTCATTATCATGAACCTGGACAAACTCGTGACATATGTTATATTTTGCATGGTCCACCACCCAGTTATGATCCTGTTATTCTAAAGGAATATAATGAGTTCCTTCGAAATCGCGCAAGTAAACAGACATCTTCACCAGTAGCATCTGGTGCTCAACCTAATCAACCAGCCAATAATGCTCATATTGCTCAGGCAGAATATGACGAGTTCCTTCAATATCGTGCAAATAAGCAACATCTCTTTAAGCATTTTCAGACTAAAGACCTTGGCAGATTGAAGTATTTTCTAGGTATTGAGGTTTCTCAGTCTAGATCAGGTATTGTTATTTCTCAACACAAGTATGCCTTAGACATTCTTGAGGAGACTGGGATGTAGACCTATTGACACTCCTATGGATCCGAATGTTAAACTTCTTCCGGGATAGAGAGAGCCACTTAGTAATCCTGAAAGGTATAGACTGTTTGTGGGAAAGTTGAATTATCTCACAGTGACTAGACCTGTCATCTCTTTTCCCGTGAGTGTTGCAAGTCAGTTTATGACTTCCCCTTGTGATAGTCATTGGGAAGCAGTTGTTCGTATTTTGCGATATATAAAGTCAGCTCCCGGTAAAGTACTATTCTTTGAGGATCATGGACATGAACATATCATTGGATATACAGACGCTGATAGGGCAAGATCATCCTTTGATTGACGTTCAACATCCGAATATTGTGTTTTAGTTGGAGGTAATTTGATGTCGTGGAAGAGTAAGAAACAGAATGTGGTTGCTCGATCTAGTGTAGAATCAAAATATCGAGCAATGTCGACAGCAACTTGTGAGCTAGTTTGGATCAAACAGTTGCTGGGAGAACTAAAATTTGGCAAAATTGATCAGATGGAACTTGTGTGTGATAATCAAGCGGCTCTTCATATTGCATCAAATCGAGTGTTTCACGAAAGGACTAAGCACATTGTGATTGACTGTCACTTTGTCAGAGAAAACTCTCGGGAGATATTGTTACAAAATTTGTGAAGTCAAATGATCAGCTTGCAGATTTGTTCACCAAGTCTCTCACATGTCCTCGTATTAATTACATCTGTAACAAGCTAGGTACATATGATTTGTATGCACCAGATTGAGGGGGAGCGTTAGAATATAAATAAGTATTTATAAGTATTTCAAACTTAGAATAGAAATAGGACTGAGAATAGAAATAGGAATAGGAACAGGAATAGGAATTCTAGTCAGAAAAGGGTTCCAATGTTGTGTCTGTAAATAGGATCTTAATGTAACAATAAGATATACAATTCAATAATATTCTTCCAATATATTTCTCACACATTAGTGCCTTAGAAACAAACTAGTTGGAATTAATTATATGAACCCTCTGAATACTTCCTCAATCCTCAACTAATTTAGGAGTTTTTGTTTGTTTTAGTTAAGGGTTTTTAGAGTATGTTAATAAACTTAAAAGTGTATCACATTTGAACATAATTTAAGCTATGTAGTCTGGATAGGAATATGGAGATCATATCTACTACAGATACCGTAGAAAAATAAGGACCTTTTGAGAATAAAACTGGATCGCTCTCTTTATAATATTTTTTAAAGCCCAAATCACCATATTCTTTGGAATCCAAAAAGTAGACAGCTTCAACCTTGCCCCCACCCTTTCTTTTTTGGGATCTGATATGAAACCCTAAGTAGTAATTGTAAACTTTCATGTGTCTGAATCCCTAGTTCAGTCTGATTTTTAGACATACTAATCCCTCCTCCTATTTATCACAACCATTCGAAGATTTCCTTCTTTGTTTATCTTTATGATTTTGCAAATTATTCAGCAATCCCTCCAAAATTTTATTTCGACCCCGATATCACTCTTGTACCTATTTTTTTTCACGCAACAGGATACTCACAACCATAACATAAATGAGACGAACATGATAGGTACAGAATACTATTTCTAGGATATCCTGAGTGCAACATGCCTTGAATGGACAAGATTGCATGAAAATAATTCCATCTCACTTGATAGTATATTGAAGCAAAACAAAGTCTTCTAAAGAATCACGTACCCTGATAAATTTTACAGTCATAGCTCGATATTTCTCATGCTCCTCCTCATTGCCTTCCAATTGATCACCTAATGCCCTGCATAATCACAATGATTTCTTTAGACTTTATTCCAGCTACAGTTACTATAACATGTATCATGAAAATTCCAAGAAATAACTGGGTATTCAATAATTAATACATTACTCTGATACATTCAGATGATGAACTCACAAGAAGAAGAATCAACTCTGAACTTCAAGATATCAATGAAAATGATGGAACTCTAGTTTAACAAAACATCATGCTTTTCAACAACCTCTCACCAAGAAATCACCAGAATCCGGGTGGTGATATTATCCAAGCTTAGCATCCAAGGGAGTGGCCTAGTGGTCAGTGAAGTGGTTGATAACCTGAGGTCTCAGTTCAGAACTCAGTGGAGACAAAAAAAAACTAGGTGATTCTTCCCATCTGTCCTAGCCTTGATGGACTTACCTGGTACCTGTTGGTGGTGGTAGGTAGTAGGTATCCCGTGGAATTAGTTGAGGTGCGCGAAAGCTGGCCCGGACACCACGTTCATAAAAAAAAATATTATCCAAGCTTACAAGATGAGAGAAAAAGACAAGGAAGAGCAAAAAATACTTAACTCTAACTTCCCAATGATTAATATATTATCATAGAATATAATAGGAGTAGGCTCCAAAGGATCCCTTAAGAGATTCCAATCATTCAAACAACAATTTCAAATCCCTCTGATATGTTTGCAAGAACCAATGGTAGATAATGGGAAGATTCAAAAATACAAAAGAAAACTGGGTATGCCTCAATGTTTTTTCAACTGCTCCAATAAAATCTAGATAATTGGACCTCCGAAGTAGATCTATCATTCAAGATAGAGAGCAGCATGTCCTGATCAAGGCTAACTACCTCAACAACCCTCCAATACGTCAACCATTGTCTATGCTAAAGTTTATGCTAAAAGCACAGAGGAACAAAGAAGGGAGCTTTGGCTAGATCTTAAAGAAAGAGCCAATAACATTCAAGGAGCTTGGGGACCGATTGGTGATTTTAAGGTAATTACTTCCAGTGATGAAAAAAAAGGAGAAAAAAGGTATAGACCGGAAGAAAATCTATACTTCATAGAATGCCTCAATGATAGTGGTCTTCGAGATGCAGGATACACAAATTTTCCTTTTACTTGGTGTGACAGCAGAGATCCTCCCATCACCATTTCAAAGAGTTAGACAGGCTTGTTTATGACAGCTTGGACTGATACAATTTCCAACACATCACTTACTCACTTGTCCAGAGCCTGCCCTGATCACGCTCCTCTACTTTTCAAAATAAGCAATGAGATCGCCTCTCACATAAGAAAATTTCAAGTTTCATAATATCTAAATTGAATACCAAAATTATCTTCAACTCCTTTACTACTATCCCCATTCAAGTGAAAGGACTTATGAACATGGATAGATGGAACCTTCACTCATTTATGACAAGCCAAACCAGCATAATTTTTAAATTAGGCACTAACATCAAAAGTCTCTTTACAAAGTTTGATATTCCAAACTCAACATGTAACTTTTTACGCATGCAATGACAACCAATATGTAGAAAAAGGACAATCTTACTAAGCACAAACCTGAAGAAACAATTTCCATCTGCCGTCACTTGTATAATCTTTAAGCCCAATGCATCAAGCTGAGCTCGAAATTCAGAAATATCAGCCTGCTTTCCATGCTTTTTAGCCTGTCGCATACAGTAACATACACAAAACAGCACATATACTCAATACTGATAACAAACAAATACACTCAAATTTGTGAAGTAGAATCTACTCATATTAAGCTAAGTTAGAACGAAAAATCATATACACCAAGTAATCAACAATGAATTTTTGCAATCCCAAATAAATTGAAAACAATTATATGAATTTGAGGTAATCTGAAATACTTACATGAGGTTGTTTGTTAGGTTTGGATTTTTGATGCTTCGTTTTGGCCATCTCGTCGATTGGTTATTTTTCAGTTCGTCTGTCAAACGCCGACCGGCGACTGGTGTTGTGTTACGGTCTCTATTGTATCCTCCACGGAAAATTGCACACTTCCCGAAAAACCTCTACAGAAAAACAAAATTAAACAACATTTGGTTATCATTGTATTGTTTTTAAAAATAAATAGATAAATATCAAAAGTTTTAAGTTTGAAAAAATATTTTTGACCTCTTTTTTTATTTTTTTCAAGAAATTTCACTAGATAGTCCTTGTTTTATTTTTTAAGGCAAATTTTATATATAGCAAATATCAAATTTTTAATTTTAGGCTATGAATTTTTTTTAAAAATTACGTTTCGTAGTAAAATATGAGTTTGCTACGGATGTTTTTTTCTGTATAATCTTAAACGTCATTTATACATTTCATACAGTTATACTAACTAGGTATATGTATGAAATTGTTGTATGTTTATTCGAATCTGTCAGTTATATACATATATCTATTTAGTGTTTTTTGGTGAACTATATAATTGTATAGAATTGTTGTATGTTTATACGAATTTGTCAGTTATATACATATACATACTTAGTATTTTTGGATGAATTATATAATTTTATAAAGTTTTAATTATATACAAGCTTTTGAAATAATTTGAAAATGTGTATAGCCTAAAACTGAAGTAGCTAGAATTTGTATAAACATATGTTCTGTTTGTTGTTGAAATTCTTAAGCTTACAAATGTATATGTATATAATTTAATTTTTTTATACAGAATTTCTGAAAATGGCTTCATTGGCTATTTTGGTTATGCATTCTGGTAGATGGGGCAATGACAATTGTTACGTCGATTATACAATTGAGGGGGTGATTTTTAAAGAAATTTCATCGTGTAATAAGTTATATAATGTCACTGCAATGCAACTAAGGATCGATATGAATGTGATTAAACTCAAAATTGAGTATAAAATTGAAGAAAGCAACACACCCATGTTGATTCCCAAAAATCAGAATGGATTATGAAGAGGAGTGAAAAGGTAGTTTGAAAAAAATTGACAAAATTAGATGAGTTTTTGGCGGTATCTGAAAGTTTTGAAATACTTCTGAAGACCGCAAGGACGTGCTAAAGAAGTTTGAAATTTGAAATTGAATTTGTGGAGAATATTAAGGAGAAATTGAAGGAAATGAGTACAGATTGTATTATAATATGAAGGGGAAAGAGTAAAAAATGATTTTAATTTTGGGGAGATATTTTATACAATAATTGACCGAGAGTTTGCTTATTAAAGGAAATAAATGAAAGGTAAGTTACTCCATTTGATTACTTTTATTAGTTTCTCATTCTCTACAATAATACCATTTTTTATCCTACTTTTTAAAAATGAAAAGTTACTTTCTCTATTTTAATTTATTTGAGATATTTATATTGAATATCCAATTTTAATCTATTATTTTTTAAAAGTTATATAGTTATAAACTAAAGATATGTCATATTTACTAAATGTCTTTTAATTTTGTTGTCTAAAATGTATTTTTTGAAAAGTTGAAATTAGGAATTACTAAAAAGGAAAAGAGTCATTCTTTAAGTATGTCAAATAAATTAAAATGGAGAAAGTAATAAATATGAATATTCACAAAAATTATGTTCCTCTTGCTTCTTTCATCGATTGAAAATAGCTAGTGGGTTGGGTTCATCAATAAAGAGTGTTGATTGCTTATTTACCCATTAGATTGTCAAGTATCTAAAATCTACCTCTTATAGAGGTTATTTGTATTTGTATCCAATAATTATTGAGATGACCAAGAATCTATATATGTTTTGCCATGAGGTATATGACAGTGTGAATGGTAGTTGAAATGTGAAAGATTTCGTGAAATCGACTGTGAATGATTCAATAACCTTATATCGACAAAAGGTATAATCAGATTTGAAGTTTGTGCTATCAGCCTAGGGTGAGACTTGTATCTCTCATACTATGCTTGCATGGAAAGAGAGGGAAACAGAGTTTGGAATTTTTGAAGGCAATAATATGTTTGCTAAGAAAACTTTGTAACTAGTGTGGTTTGAGAGCAAGATAAATGTTGTGTATGATTTTAATGTTTCGTTAGTTGTAAGAGTATTTGGCTTTAGTGGAACACTGTGAAAAGTATGCGTGGCTTGATAAATCGAGTATCTCTATGATTGTAAGGTGGATCAGACTGGTTGATTGTGGGTAGATAAAAATCAAAGAGATGGAGTCATATGAATGGAAATGTTTGATATGGACACTGTGGAAGAAATATTTTGTGGCATTCGACCTCAAGTCTGTATATTCTTATGTGACCACCTACTTCGTTATAGACATGGTTTAAAGTATGTTTCATTACTTATACTCGCACATGTTTTCATTCTTGTAAGTGGATCCTTAGTGGCGGATCAAGTGTACTGATCTTGCAATGTCCTCTTGGTAAGGTAGGATGCTTGTGCGAGTTTGGTCATTTTAGATATGGCAAAAGTGGTGTTGCCTTAGAGTAGTCAAAGTTTTCCAGTAGTTTTATATGTGTCACTTTCCTTTTAAAAATTTATAGAAGAGCTACCATGAATATTTTTAGTTGTCCGACGGTCTTAATATTCATCTCGTCATCGGGGTCTTAATTTTTAGTGTTTTTAGAGGTTATATATGCTTGAGTGTATCTCTCTCTATATTGTTACTCGATTATTTCCTCATTTGAGTTAGATAAATTTGATTATTCCATGATGACTACGCGATGTGTAAAGATCATATTTTTATAGCTTGAGTTGCTAGGAAGATTATTTGGTTGTAAGAATGAAATCTTGACAAGACCTGTGATGGTTTCAGTATTATGAGTGCGGGTGGTTGGTTCAGATTCACTTCTAGTTGTAGCCAGTATCGAACCAAAAAAGTTACGTGGTTATATGAAAAAAAATTGCCCTAATAGTTGTGGTCTGGGATTTCGGTTTAGATTGGATTCATGAATTAATATGTGGCTATGTAATCATTCATGATTTATAGATCCGCGAAAGTTTGATTCAAATATTTAGTATTTAGTAGTTGATTTTGATGGAATAGTCTTGAGGAGGAGCTCACTTGGAGAGAACAAAACTAACTCTAGAAGATTATAACTCAGGCTTTTGGAAACGTCGACTATTATTACTTCTTCTTTTTTATGTTGGAGGGAGCATAGTTTTTAGTGGCGTGACACTTTAATGACCCGTTGGGCCATTTTAAGAACTAGTTCTCGCTTTTTCATAAAAGACTCTTCCCAAAAAATTCTAAATGAGAATCTTCAATTACTCGTTTAACTATGATTATTTAATTTTAGAGTACATTTTAAATATTTAATTTTAGTAAGTGGTTAATGGTCCTATTCCATAATTCTTTAAGGAAAAGTTATGCATAATGGCAAACTACTAATTAAAATAAATAACATAGCTACTGTTTCATTTATTTCCTTTGAGTAGCTATAGTTTCACATATCTTGCTACTAGCGGGTCCCACAAATAAAAAAAAGGAAGTCATTTCCTTTGTACAATTCACTTCATCTCTCTCATACCTTTCAATTTCTCCTAACTTCTCTTCACAAAATCAGTTCGAATTTCATATCTTCACTATTACGCTCCGCCAAAACCTCTAAATCAATTAATGTTTTTTCCAATTTTTCTCATATATTTTTTATTTTCATATGAAATCATAATCTATACCTATTTTTCACTTATACAATGAATGAACATACTCCTCCGACAAGATTGACAAGAGGTATACATTTGCATGAGAAATTTTTTGTTAAACCACCATCATTTTCCTTGGGTGTAACTCAGAATTTTTGGAGAGGTTGCAGATTCAATAATCAAATCCAAAGAAATTAAAGACATCATATCCAAATTTAAGAATGAATCAATCAAACTGGATGAAATTAGTGCAAAATCAAAGTAATCAGGAATTGTTGCGGGAGGTGACAAAGGTCGGTACGATGCTAGTTCAAGTAAAAAGAGGAAGTGCCAGTTCAAGTAAGAAGAGGAAAGGAAAAGCAATTGTATATTAGCCATTAGGTTAATATATAAACTTATTTTATAAAGAATTTGTATATTATAGTTGTTTTTGGCTCATTGGAGAAAGATGAATATGAAGAAGTTTAGGTATTTGTATAATCATTGATTTATATACATTATTGTATATTAGTCTTATATTTTTTCTGTAAATTTTTGTCTTATATCTGTTTATTTACATAGATATGTACAACCATTAGTTTTAATATACAAACTTATTGTATAAATAGCAGTATTTATTAGGGAAAATGGTCTGAAAAGTATTTCAACTTTGGTTGAAATCATTGTTACGATACTAAATTTTATGAAGGACCTTTTACCCCCTGAACTATTTAATAGTGTATTTTAAATGTATATATGTGCCCACGTGAACATATTACTATTATAATTATGCAATATTTTTTAGAAAAAATTACTTGGATGAATGCCTTATAATAAATAATTATTGATTTTAGCGACACTTTTTATTTATTACCATTTATAGCAATACTATGTTAAATTTGCAATATGCATTAAAAGTGAATTAAGTATGCAGTATATATGTATTATAACTATTTAAAAAAATATATTATGCTTGTTTGATAAGAAGTTGACACATTGTATTATAAGTGTACTAAAATGTGTGATAAATGTATTATTTATCAATAAACCTTGTATTATATGTGAATAACAAATTATTTTTTGTAATATGAACTAAAAGTGTATTATAAATGTATTAAAAGTGATAAACTGATAAAAATTGTTATTGCTAAATGGTAAATATTTTTTATTTATAGTATATTTATTAGTTTTCCTTATTTGTTATGTCGACATGTGGACATATATACCTTTAAAATACACTATTAAATAGTGCAGAGTGTAAAATGTCATTTTCATAGTTTGATATCCAACAACAAGTTCGATCAAAGTTTAAATATATTTCACCTTTTCCCCTAGTTATTATAACAATTTTACCATATACAATATTAACAATTATACAATTATGACATTATGAGAAGCGGAAGTCTCCAACTAATGCCACTTCTACCATATTTAAATGAGAAGAAACACATTTCAACTAATAACATTTTTAATATCAAATACATGAAAAGTAAATAAAAAAATTGTCACA